AATGTCAATCTTTGGCCAGTTGTTGTCATCATATCATCACACAGTATAGTATTACAGTAGTGCTTCAGACTTCATGGGTGCATGCCGTGTTAGAAATAAGCTGATAAACTCCGTTCCACCAGAAAGCAGGCTTAGGCAGCTTTCCCCTGTGTGGCGCAGATAGGGATTTCCTCCAGATTTGTTGGAATTCAACCTCCAGCATTCCCAGCCAGCACAGATAGTTGCCGAGGATGATGAGGGTTGTATTCCATTGCATCTGAAACATGGGGTTGGGAAAACATGTCTAGAGCAAGGATTTTAATTTATTTCTCTATTCCACCCATCCATCCATCCATTTTTTGTCCTCAGAGATCAAGGCAACACACATTTTATCCTTACAATGATCCGCGCAGTGGATAACGATGAATGCGATGATTATGCAGTGATCCCACAATTCCATGCTGGGAAAGTGGTCACCTTCAGACAAGAAAAGGAGGCTGAGAAGGGATGAGCAGCAGCACAAAAATCTGTTGTCTTACATCAAATCCACATCCAGGGTTTCTTCCGGCTACCCAAGGGCAATTCATTTTGCTGCCTCAGATAAAGCACAAGATGGCAACCCCTTTCCGTGTACAGAAGATGATTCGACCGGCAGCTGAATCTTACTTAGACAGTGGCACGAATGCAGCGCCTCCCTGAAGGTTGTAGGTTAGTTTGAAGGGTGCAACACAAGCTTTCTCCTACAGCATCTCTCCCCACAGCACATTCTGTGGAAGAGCACTAGCTAGCACCGTGACTGGCTTATGGTCATACCATCCATGTCTCTTAGCAGGTTCTCTGCCACCTGTCTCCTTCACCTGGTACATCTTCCCCCGCAGAAACATTGACTTAGGGAAAGATTCCATGACCCCTAGACATCATCTGGACTTCCAGCTCTGCAGCAGGGATACTGCTTTGACTTTGGCATTGCAGATGAGCTCTTCTACCCTGCACCACCTTGCAGCTCTCAAGAAAGCGACCGTGTTCTTTGAGGTCAGGAAACCACTGGTTGGGAGACCTGCTGTTCCTTGAAGATGACCCATTCCATTTGCTCCCCACCCCTGGAGATCTTGCCCTAAAGGCTGGGCCTGCTGTTTGGGAGGGAGAGGGATGCCTGAATTTGTTCAAGTGGCTCAATTTTTAAAAATGTTTGTTCAAATGTTAAATTGAAATGTTACGCTTTTTACGTACATATTTTAGTGTATTGTGCACATTGTTGCCAACCACCCAGAAAGCTTGGTGGAGAAATGAAATCAATGAAAAGGAAGCAACCTTGGAGAGGGCTTAAAGGAGGCTGGGAGGGGAGGAACTGGGGTGGTCAGGGCACAGGATACCCTAATGTTGCTCCAGCATTTTCCCCTTTCTTTCCCAAGCACTGGAGGCTCACGGGCATCCTGATTCTGGACTGGTTTGTATTGCTACCCACCTTCTACATGTGATGGATGATGGAAGCAAGACCAAGTGAACATCACAGGTACCGCATCAAGGCACCTGATCTGCACATCACTCCAACATGGACTTTTGTTATTGATAATAGGACAGGATGTCATCTCAAGGTCTTACAGGCTTCATTGTTTTCCCAAGCAAGAGATCAGATCTGACCATGAACACCTGGACTTCAGTACTTACCAGTTTCCTTCCGAGAGGAAGCTGTGCACAGTGGTAACCCTTCAGCAGCTGCAAGTGGAACAAACAGTTCATAATTAGGTTGTCACTGCTGACAGATGGCAAAGAACCAAATGCAGTGATTGTCAGGATGCCCAGAACTTGGGAGCAGATCATATATATATATATGTGAATGACAAGGATAAACAAGTCATTTATTAGGACATTTCAGGAGATTTTAGCTGTTTGCTAAATGACCTTTTTAAAATGGCCTTTAAGTATCAAATTTTATTTACATTTTCTGCAGATGGTGTTATATTGGCCTTCAGAATTAAGGATCTGTTGTCAGGCCAATCCATAAAAAACACTTTAAGAGGTCTCTGTCAAATTTACCCGGTATCCATCAATGTGAATTACAGGGGTTTTTTGATGCTACTTCATATAGGTGCACTGGGAAGTCACTGAATTAATCAACTTGTTTCTGAGGCTGCAATCTTATGAGAATTTCGAATGATATTCCATTGGAATCAATAAGATATAGTTTAGTGCCTAAGTAAGATTTGGAGTATTGTGTTCAAGTTGTGGACTGTATCATTTGGGCTAGTGTTTTCCCATTAAACCCTTTTAATTTATATCCCACTTTCTGTCCCAAAAAGGCACTTGAGATGGCAAGACAACCCTGCTCTTCAGCTTAGGACTTGTGGTTTCAGTTTGAGGTTTTATTTTTAAGGAAAGGATAAAGAGAAATAAAACAAGAGATGGAAAATAGCAATGTAGGATGTGGGAGGTGGGGTTGGAGAGTAGGAGAAGAGAAATGTTGAGCCAAAAAAGTGCTACTGTGTTATGGTGGACAGGCCTGTCTGAAAAGTCCGAAGGCTACTGCATTAATTCAGAGATCAAAACAAGCAAACACCTGCTCACCACCAGTTTAAGAGATTGTGTCTGTCCAAACTCCAAGAAGCCAGAAAATAGGATTCTAAGGCTGATGCTTTAGCAAACATGCCCTGTGATCAAAGAGCAGGATTGTGCAATGGCCCTAAGTGTGCTTGCCGACGTGTCTCCCATGCACTCACACTTTTCCACGGCCTTTTGGGACAAATCCAGAGAGGAAGGCTGCAGTGCCTGGGAATAGCAAGGATGGTCTGTGCCAATTGCGTCCTGTATCGTCTGATGAAAGGTGGGAGCCTTACTGGAGCTTCAGGGGTGACCCAGAGCCGATCAACAGGGACGCTCCAGTCTGGACTGTATCCAGAGTGGGGGGCAACTGTGGGGCTCACCCTGATCCGTGGCAGTCAGTGAGGCCTGGTGGGGCATGTGCAGGAAAGGAATTCCCACCAGGTGAAAGGAGGCAGTGATGGAGGCTCGCCTGTGCCTGGTCCTCATCCTAAGCAGCAACATCCTGTCCTTCTCTCTGTGCCTAGTAAAAGCCAGAGTTTCTCCCTGCTTCCCCTTTGAGGTTCTGGAAGCCAGATACACTTTCTGTAACCGCTTGTTGTTATGTGATTTCCAAGATTGTCCCATGTTAAAAGAGGCGAACATTGAATTTGTGCTTTGAAATAGTATTTTACCAGCTACAAGAATAGGCAACCCTCCATATTTTAAGTAGCTCATCACCTTTTCCGAAACAGTGCAGAAAAAGGGTCATCCATCATTTTCTCAAAGGCACTTTGAAGGGATTGAGGGATTTTGCTTTTAAACTTGTCCCCCCACTTTTCCTGTCATTTGCAGGGAATGTACAGCCATCACTTCTTTCTGGCATGTGTGCATTCCAGGGGCATGGGTGAAATCCTGATTTTTTTAATGGTTACAATACTGCTCCCTCTCCAATTATCACCATTGAAATAGTGCAGCTGGGATGCTTTCTTCTCATGGATTGGGAACAAGAGAGGAAAGGTGAAAATGAAGAGGAACAAGAAGGGAGGTGGGCTTTTACAGGGAAGAAAAAGGATGTCTTGGTAAGGAAACTGAAAAGAGCCATTCCCCACCCCATTTGGGCTGCAGAAGCCTCCTCCCTTTGCACCCTTTATTGTGTATTTTATTCAATGTTGTGAGCCGCCCCGAGGCTTTGGCAAGGGGCGGCATAGAAATGTTTTAATAAATAAAAAAAATAAGAAACACCCAACATCTGTCTACAGCTGCATTAGGGTAGTTGTGATAGTGGTGAAATAAGGAACCCTTGAGAACTGTGTCCGGAGGTTCATTTAGATTGGCCACTGCCAAGCTATGATCTGCCATCCTGGCAATGTGCAAGCTGGACTTTTTTTGCCAGTCTACCCTTTGGATAGAAATGTCCACTTCCATGGAGCAAGGAATATTTTTAAGCGGTGACAGATGGCGATGGGGTGCTACTGCTAAACAGGCCTGAATGTTGGGCACTGTGGGGCAGCGTTGCTAGGCTACCGCCTTCCTTGTGCCAGGGCTCCACTATCAGAATTAATGGTAGTTATGGGAGCAGCAATGTTTTGCAGATACATTGGTTAGTTTTGATTAATAGCACTGTCTGAAACTGGGCTTGTTTACCTTCTTGTTATTATCCATCATGTCTGTATTTTCCACGGCAAGAGCTTTCGATATTTAGGGTTGAAGCAATCAAGCGTTGCCAGCAAACGGAGAAGCCCCATCGGAACTGCCAGCCGATGCTAGACTTGCGTTTCATTTTGCCCTGGGGTGTTTATGGAGACCACCCTTCCCCAGCTTGGTGCCCGCTAGTTCTCAGAATTCCTAACACTGGCCATGCTGGGGCTGAAGGGTGTTGTACCCCTACCCCAGGTGTTTTGGACTAGCAGGGTGGGAAACACTGCTGCAGTCGCCATCTGCCACCCCTCATGACCCAATCCGAACTGCCTGTTCTTCCTGCAAGCAAAGGGAAAAGCCAGTGCGCAGTCCCACTCGTGTATGACCACTAGCTTGCATTTGCAAATGTGTCTTCCTCTTAATACACTTCTGGATCTGCAAGCATGCTCTTGGCATTGCATGGGAACGCTTCCCTAGGATTGCCAGCCTTGTGCCTGGCAATTAGCAAAATGTCCATCATGTTAAGGCAGCCTGCTGAACAGGTTGCTTCTTCTAGCCACCCCTTTATCCCTTTCTTCCACTTGCAGCTGAAAGGGTGGGTAAGGGAATCCTTTGGAATACTAGTGGTGCTCTTAACATATGGATTGTCCTTTCATCTACCCAAAGCAGCATGTTTTTTTCCCAGGGAAGCACATGACGCAGAATATGCTCATCATGCGTTGTAAGAATTACTGTTAAGACTGTTGCAGCAAACGCATGACTACACTGAGAGAACTTCTGCTTTTGTGGTCTTTCAAAACACTCAACGCAATAGTCCACTTCTTCCCTTCATTTTGCCCAGCAATAAACGGAAGAACAAGGTGTTCTATTAAAATAAAAATAATTTATTGAAACTGATCTGCTTCTCAAAAAGACAACTTCACTGAAGTTTGTCCTCAAGTCAGTATTTCAGCATGGGCAGGAGTGTACAACACAACCTAAGTTTTTTAATATATATATATTTACACACAAGAATGCACCCACGCCCACACACACAATATACAGCCGTCATTTGATGTTTAGGCCAAGTTCTTCTTGACTCAGGCAGGATTTGACCCCAACTAGTTAGCGGGCCAGCATGCTCTGCTCTTAAGTCAGCTAATCCCCTTTCCTTCTCTGCATGATGCAGCAGCGTCGTAACTTCTACCAGTCCAGGGAAGTCTGCTCCAGTCTGCACACAGAAACACGATTTGCAGAGAACAGAACCTGCGTAAGAATGCTTAGAAAGCAGGAACGATTATTATATGCTACCAGTTGTTTAGGAAAACTAGAGCCGGCCAATTGCTCAAAGCCTCTCAAGTGCCAGGAGGGGTCAGTTTGTGTAGAACAACCCCAGAAATAGTTTACATCTGGCAGAGGATGCTGATCCTATTTGACTTAATGTCAGCACATCCAGGTTAACCTATGGAGTTGGACAACCCGCAGCAGCTTGGGAATGTGTAAGGCATTCTTTCCTGATGCATCGTTTTTCCTATGGAAAGTGAACTTTCCCCAGCAATTTTGCTCGCTTTTCCTTCTCAATATCACAGCTTGCCAGATACCAGAGTGTCAGAGTCAATATGCTCATCCACTGAAAAATTAAAAGTGTATTTGGGCAAATCTCCCCTGTTTAGTTTATGGAGTCCGCCAAGCCTTGCAAAGACACGGTCTTCCTCCTCCATGAGTGAAAAGGTTCCTTGGTTTCTCTTTTCTGTTCCACTTCGGAGTTCAGGTCCCCTGAGGCTCCCTTCTAATGGGCGACTTTTTACACAGCTCTTGGTAGAATTCTGACTCCAGGAACCGTGGGTAAGAATTGTTCTCCATCAGACTGTAGACTCTCTTCTGGGCTGCATTAAAGCACGTATGTGTAGCTTCTTGGAGGTTCTGAGCAATTGTGTTCTTGGTTTGAAAGTCTATGTTGATCTGAAATAAGCAGAAGGAAGTGTAAGCAGATGTGTTCCATTAGCTATTCTGGATCAAAGCAGGAATTAATTTAGTACTGTCCCCAATAGACACTGGCAACCTGCCCTAGGACGGACCCAACAATCTGTATGGTTTACCCAAGAACTTAGTAAGCAAAGGTAGACCGTCTCAGAATATGGAGGCTGCATTTTGTTGAGAGGCCAAGAGTGACTAACGGATCTTCTCCATACATTTGCCTAATTTGGTTCCTCCAGATATTTTAAACTGTAAGACTATGGTCTTGCCATCTGACCATTGGCCATGCTGGCTGAAGTTGGCGAAAATTTAAGTTCAAACACTCTGGAGGGTACCAGGGTAAGGAAGTGTTCTTTTAGGAACTCTTCCAAGATCTCAGTTTTAAAAACTGAGCAGATTTCCATGCAAACTGACAATCTATGTAGGTTTTTAACTGAGTTATTCTGGAGTGGGAATTTAGGGATATCTGCTCACAAATTAAGAATTCATATGGGTTTTCCATTCTGATATGCTTTCCAAGTGAACTGAACCCTAGGAAACACTTTCAATGGAATCAACCCTTGCAAAAACTATTCCTTATTCACACAAGCAGAAATCATGGAATGGACAGCCCATTTCAAAAGGGGTTTTTTTTTGCTTACCTCTTTAGGAGCTTCCTTTTCAATAAAGTCACTATAGATCTTCTTTGCCTTGGCAGTCAGTTTTTGCGGGGACTTGATTTTCTTGAAATCCTCACAAGCCAGCCAGAAGTCAATGTTCTCTTCACAAAACTCAGATTTCAGGAATGCCCTGAAAGCCGATAGTCCATCTGCAAAGGAAGGTGAAAAAGATGGATTAGCTCAAAGAATCCCAGGAATGTTGTATATACATGTATGCACTTCCCTACCCTCCCATGTCCTAGTCTTGTTCTGTATCTTCCCTGGATTGTTTAAATGAAATGTACCAAAACAGCAACTTGCCAATTTCTATTACGTTTAAGCATTAAAATTTGTAACATTTTTAAGGAATAAATCAGCTTGTGTTCTTTTTCCAACATGACTTAAAATGAAAAAGTGGTAGGGAGTTTTGCACAACTTCTACTCTGTGGTTTGATGTTATATTAACCTTTGGACCAGAGTGTGTGTTTATGGAAGAGCTATAAACTCCTGGAAGGCAGCGGCAATGGAAACCTTGAGTCAAAGTTCACCCTGCAGAAAATGTGATAGAGATTTCTCTTCAGTTCCTTAGATAAGCAAGAGCATGACCACTTTTGCATAGGCAAAGTGTGTGCCCATAAAATCTACTTTTCACAAGGGGAAGAGAAGAAGAATCTATTTTATAAATACAAGTGTACACTGGTACAATGCATGCTTCTCTTACTTGAGGCAACCCATTTATCATGATCTGTACCATATCCATAACCAGTGTCCGCTTAAATTGATGCCTGAGTTTCCCAAAGATCAAAAGACCTTTGAGTGAGACTAGGAGTGAACTCCTGGCAGCTTAAGACATTTCACATGTGGTAGAAGTTTTCTAAGTCAGGGTTGTGAAAATCCTACCTTTTTTCTAAAGTTTCTAGTCCTTTCAAGGTGAAAGAGCTACATCAGAGTTTGTCAGAGTAATGGGAAAAAAGACTTTCTAAAAAAATGGAACTAAATAAAGTTCAAGGCTGGATGAAGATAGACTGAAAGGCACTAATCAAACTGGAAGAGCAGCTGGTATTCTAAGACCTCCAGACTTTGGGCCTGGAGTCCAGCTGGGTGCAGGTCAAGCTCATCTAAGCTTTTCACAAGGAGCCAGGCTACAAAGCATGTATCAAAAAAGTAGCAAAAGGGCTGGTTGTTTCTTTCCTGTACTGCTAACTTCTGCAAGAAGAGGCTGTGTGAGCACCCACATGCCAGAATCTTACAGCTGTATTCGCTACATCGCTCTAAAGGAATGCAAGGCCAGCTAAAAATGCTGACCAACTACAGGTACTGCAGTACAAAAAGCCTATCACAAGCCAGCCCTGCCTACAGGAAGCACTTTGGAGCTGTACATGACTAAGAAAAGGTTTTCTATGAATTTAGGCTCCTAGGCAGCCTGAAATGATGCCCGTTTAAAGCAGGGATGGACAGATGATAAACCTTGATTCTAGGTCTGGTGATCCACAGCACGTGGACCAAGATTTCTGGACTCCCACTAGCAGGAACAGAATGGGCTGGTTTGCACCATCATTGATGGGTTAAGCCATGGTGTGTTGTGGCAGCTGCAGGATGGAATTTGAGTATTTTGTTTTAACCATGGTTCCCAGGTTCACATGACAAGCTGCAGGCAGCTGTTGCATACTGCAACTACAGCATACACAAGCCACAGCCCACCACAGCAGCTGTTTGATCTGCAAACAACATTCAGTTATGGCACCAGGGTTTGTTTTGTGGTGCCACACTTCAGTTGATGGATTTCAGGGTCCTGGTAAAAAAGTAATTTCTGCAAAGGCATGAAGTCTGCCTACTCTTATTATAAAGGTTTCTAGCAAGCCAAAAGCATCTGAAGCCTGATGCACAAAGCACTAGTTTTTTTGTTATCTTATGAAGTATGTTTTCTTATCTCATAGAGCGTTATTTCCTAGGGTAACCCTCAAGAAGGACAAATATGCTATAACCATTTGTTCGCATTTCACTTGCTAAAGCAACTTACATTTGCTAGCCAAAAGTTCATCAAATGCTTCCGACCAGAGCTGGGCTTCCTCAGGAGATGGTCTGTAAAGAAAAACAAAGCTTTAAAAACCTGCACTACTCTTGTGATCTATTTGATGCATTTAACTTAAGAAACAAAGATCCACTATGTAAAAATATGAACTACATACCTGAAGTGTGCCTTTTGATGTGCTTTCTTGTTGGTCTTGGTATTCGTAGAAGAATTCTGCAGGAAATAACTCAGTCTTGATTTCCAATCTTTCATGCTAAGATAAGAGAAGGAAAAAAAAAAGTTCAATGGATTGCAGCCTTTCCTTTTAAAGCACAGAGAAATCAACATCTGCAGTTTCTTCAACATGGACTGGACTTGTGCTTAATTCACAAAATTCCCAAGTCTTAATTTTAGCATATCCTTTCGGTCCAATCCACTTGCAAGGATTGGTTTACACACTACAGTTATACTCAGTTAATCACTTGATGACTGGCATGTGAACTGAGTCCACTGATAAGGAAGCAGTACGAAAGTTCTAGGCTGCTTGCGAGCTTTGGTTTCCAATTCATACATATGTAGGTAATAGAATGAATACACATCTATGAATCAAAAGGGCTATTCAGAACAGCTACTTTAGAAGGATCACTGATAGAACATTTCCATGCAACATTTATTCTACATGTGCTGGCCACACCACCCTTTTCACAAATGCAAGCTCTGCAGGGGCTATATTACAATGATCAGATCTCTGGGGGGGGGGGAGTAGACTTTATACTTAATTTAAATAATTCTTGCTTCCTATCCTATGCAATAGAATTTGCTTCCAAAATACACGCGCAGGATTTGACTGCTTCTCTATTTTTCCCAGTTTCCAAAAATAATTCAACTTGCATGCTACAGGCTGATCCATTATTAGCACAATATTATATGAAGCCTTCCAATTAATGCTCTGCAAAAGGTGGGCATGCAAGCCGCATTTGCTACCTCAAATATACAGAGAGAGTGCTTTGCAGACGCATTTTGTTACATTAGTCCATGGAAGCATTGCCAAACAGCTAGTATATCCTTGCAGCATTTTGCTCTTTTATACAACGAGCATACCCTGCAACGACGAGCTATTTTAACTCCTAAGACAGCACTGGTTTTAAAAGGCTTTGAAGCAAAAAAGGTAAACCAGGAACTTCCAGCAGAAAAACCAATCTCACTACGGTCTGAACTATAACTGAATTGCATGTCCTCTTACACCAGGTAGGATTTTTCTTGAAGCATCTGGGACGTTAATCTCTCTGAACAATTTCAGTTCTGAGTTTTTAGCTAGGACATCAGAAATTACGAAGCACTTTTCCATAAAATAATCACTCCCAAAGCAGCTGGACACGGGTCAGTCAGAAACTCACTTTTATGCCCTAGTGACTTCTACAGCACAACTTTGGGCCACAATTCCAAACAGATCACGACCAATAAGTAAGTCCCTTTCAAGGCAGTATTCACTTCAGAATGCACCGGCACAGGGTCCTACGACAGGGCTTTGGCAGGGGCAGAAAAATGCCCTTCAACCAAGTCGTTTTAAAAAACACGCCACAACATCATAGTGCAAATATCAACCACATCGACACGCTTTAACAAACTTAAGAACACGCTCCGGTTTGCCGGTGCAGTGCTTTGCAAAGCTTCCAAAGCCTGCAGCAGCCTTCTCCAAAATAACCTGTCCACTTCACTCCTCACCTTGCAAACACCCTTCCCCAAAAGCAACAGACGTGCAAAAAGAACCCCCCGCAGCAAGTGCTGCCGCGCCTCCCTTTAACACGCGGCGTATTATTGATTTCAGTGCCATTTGCAAAGAGCTCGTTTTCCGAAGGGAAACCGGCCTTTCCAGTTACCACCCATGAAAAAGTCCTCTTTTCCTTAAAATAACAATGAAAAAAATCCGCACTCACAGGGTTTTTTTCATTTTCCCCTTTTTCTCCTCTTTGCTTTGCCCGTGGCTGGCGCTCCTCTCCATGTGCGTGCCGTCGTGCTGGAGAGCCAGAAAAATTGCACTCTGCATGCTCCTGCCTACACTAGCGTTGCTACCCGGCTGTGTTGGCAGACGCTGCGATGGCCCCTGCGCCTGCCGGCGGCGCCTTTATGCGGGGCGGCGGGCGCGGGAGGGGCGGGCGACGGGCCGCAGCCGCTCGCGGATTGGCCGAGCCGCGGGACCGCGCCGGAGTCGCCTCCCAAAAAGGCGTCCGCGAGCGAGGCGTGCGCGCCGGGCCGGCTCTGACGCAGGCGGCTGGCGCGTCTGCAGCGCCCAGCCTGGTGCAAGCGCGGCTTCCTCCTCCCGCGGGGAGCCTTGTTCCTTCTTTAATCGTAAACCATTTCGGGTTCGGATTTTGTAAATAGTGTGTTTTTTGTTTTTGGAGACAGGCCAAAAATAGACATCACGACGAGTGGTTTGCAATTTGGGGACACGTTTTCCAAGGGCTTTTTTAAAAAAAATATTTCGGGTACTTTTTATTTTTGCAGCTTAGGCTAAGAGCGAGAGCCATATTTGGTGCTGATTGTATCTTATGGTAGAACTTCTGCAGATGTGAGCTGGGGTGGGTTGCATCGGTGCAGTCATATATTGGAATTGTGAGGATTCATGGAACACGACGCTTGCATTTCTGGCAAGACTTTCTGGTGCTTGTAGGTTTGCCATAGAATTATCAGCCACAGTGATGGCAGGAAGTATGTTCATTGAACACGGGGGCTTAGAAGCAGCCGTGCATGGGCTAAGGCTAGAATGCCATACACACATAGGAAAAAGACCCGCTTCAAAGCAGACATGCATAGGATCGCATTGTTAATGACGCTTTCTGCTTTTTTTCCCCCCGCAGGCGTGTGTGAAAAGCTTTCCCAGAGAGATCTTTGTATGTGGCTCATATATTGGGCAACCCCGTAGAAATGCGGGGTTTTGCAACCTCGTTTGGATCGCGATTCCAGACAAGGGTGCTTTTTGTGGGTTGGTTTGTGCAACCTGTACTTGTGGTGAGACTGGGTTAATTTGAGGAAAAGGCTGACCTGAGGTGTAGGAAATGATGTATTTCTCTTCCACTTCCATGCACCCTCCCTCCCTCACACACACACACACGCTTTGTGTGCCCCTATTTTCAGTGTGGCAGGATTGCTTCAACTTCTCAAGTACCTACTTCTTTTGAATGGTGCAGAAGTTAAAGGGAAAATGTAAAGCAGAAAACATACTCAGGCTTTTTTTAAAATCCCTTTTGAATTCCCTCTTCAAGTGAGCAGAGTAATGAAGTCTTAATATTTCTTTAGCACTTTGCGTCAATGCTGAAATCATGTTTCCTTTTCACTCATACCTGCACCCATTGTCAAATGCATGGGTAAACTTTGCCACAACCCTGTAAGGCAGACCCATATTGCGCCTCATTGTGACTGAAGATAGATAGTGGCTTGCCTTTGGCTATTCTGTGAGCTCTTGGGTGACTGGGCTGGCACTGGGCACAGCTGGGCACATGAGCAACTCCTCTTTGCTTAACCATAATGCTGGAAATCATTCTACTGGCAAACACAGAATTGGGGTGTTACGTTTTTATTTCCACTGATACTTTTGGGAAAGCATCTGCTCTCCTGTGGATAAAAGGAGAATTCCCTTGTCAGCCTCTTTTACTCGTGAATGCAAATGAAAATCCCCACTATCAACTCAAGAGCAAGTTGATATTATAGTTGTGTAGACTTGCAAGACCTACCATGACAATCGGTATTGAGCAAAGGTCTGAAGCATGACTCAGATGCTGCTCCCTCTGTAAGTCTGATGAGTGGGTTGCTTGCAGACTGCCTTTTCCCAGCCTTGGGTGCCCATTTGTACATCAGAGATTGCAAGTGAGTAGAACCTGCAACAAAATGTTCCATGTGTCCTCCAGCCAGCCAGCCCCTTTTCCAGGGTGTTCCATTCCACCCAACAATACACAATGTTCATAGAATCATAGAATAGTAGAGTTGGAAGGGGCCATGAAGGCCATCGAGTCCAACCCCTGCTGTTGCAGGACACCATGTCACACCCTCCCACTCAGATGGCTGTCCAGTTTCTTTTTCAATATCTCCAGTGTGGGAGAGCCTACCACCTCTCTAGGCAGCTGGCTCCACTGGCGTATTGCTCTGGCAGTGAGGAAGCTTTTCCTGATGTCCAGCCTGCATCTGGGTTGCCACAACTTGAATTGATTATTCTATGTCCTACATTCTGGCAGTAGCAAGAAGAGATCTTGACCTTCCATGGTTACTGAGTTTGTTTGGTCCTCCTAGGGCAATTTGCAAGTTCTCTCCTTCTAAACAATTCGTGTGAGATACCCTCTGCAAACCTTGGGTTTTTCTCAAGCCTGGTGCAATTTTCCTATCATATACACATATTACTCTTGCTGCTCCAAGCAATCTGGGAATAAGCTTCATTTATATTTAAAGAGTATATATTTTGCCCTTTAGTAAATATTTTTGAATGGTATTCCAGTAAATTGCACGTGAGCCCTATGTAGCCATTAACTAATAGGATCCTGAATAATATTTCCTTTAAAACGTGTCTTTGTGTTTGCAATGAATTTTGTATAGCTTTTTTAAGTTCAGCTGTTTGTCTTCATGTGTATACATTTGATATTACTTCCTGCTGTGAGGACCTTTGTCCAGCAGGGACTGATGTGGGACTTGGAGTCTAATAGGTATGCACTTTTTCCAGTTCTTTCCCCTAGATGTTTGTCCCTGAAAACTTTCAGAGAACACACACAGAAAAGGGGAGGAAATGCATAGAAATGTTTATTGCTGCAGGATTAAATATTCTAAACCCAGATGTGTGCCAAAAGAATACTCCCCAGGAAAGCAGTAACACTGCACCGTTGCTGCTGTTATTTCCCCCCTTTTTGCAGAAAGTATCTATGAAAGGTTGCATCAGAAGCAAAATGGTTGGTGGGGAGAAGAGCCAGCATCAGAAGCAAAATGGTGGTGGGGAGAAGAGCCAATGTGATGTAGTGGTTAAAAATGTGGGTCTGGAACTCAGGAGATCTGGGTTCTTGTCCCTGTTCAGCCATGGAGCGAATGGGGTAACTTTGGGCCAGTCACAGATTCTCAGCCCAACCTACTTCACAGGGTTGTTGTTTTGTGGGTGAACACGGGTGCAGCAGGAGCAGAAAGATGTAAGCCACTCTGAGTTCTTAAAAAAAGAAGAGGGTGGGATATAAATCTAATAAGTGATACCAAAGTGCTATTAAGAAAGGAAGTGCATTCACAGAAGTGCCCTTTGAACAGTATGAACCACTGTGTGTGATTTGGTGTTTTTAAGGACTTCCCTCCAATGCATTCACCCTATTCCTTGATCTTGCAAGCCCCAAATCCAGATGGGGAGGATGGGATGCCTGGAACCCAAGATGTCCCGCATTGTCTCTGCCCTGTACTGCTTTATGAAACACCTGAACTTTGCAATAATGCTGTTTGCTGCTCTCATCAGTAGCTGGCAGGGTAGAGTAAACTGTGAGAGGGTCCTTCCCAGTGCTTTGTCCTTATGCTGGTGTCACAAAGGGGTGGCTTTTGCATGGCACTACACACAAAAGGACCGAGTGACACACGAGTGCAAATGTCTCGTTCTGGACCTGGGACCTGGAACTGCAGCATAAGGAATGAGAGAAAACTTGCATCCTGCACCCTTTTGCCATTTCCACCAGCAGGCCTGCTGTGAGACATGGCTTGGGAACCTGCAATGTTTGGCTGGGCAGAAATGGGCCGGATGGCTCAGTGCTGCAGTTGCAGAGGAGTGATAAATGGAAGGGATAAGTGCCCCCTCGCAGCACGTTTGCCTCAAATTGCATCTTCCGAGCACCTCGTCACAGCAAAAAAAGATGTGTGGGCTGAGACTTGTGAGCTATAATTTGATATTCTAAATAAGTCCCTGTCTGAGCCTCTTAGAGCAGAAGACGTGCGGGTTTGCAATGCACTGTAATGGAGATAACGAAGGATGCTTCCTGAGAATAGCACGGCCTTTTCTGCATCAACATGCGTAAGATTCACCCTCAATCCATGCTCAAAATCAGTACATTCCTCACTGCCAAAAATGCACCATTTCTTCATGCCTCTTGAAATCCATGACATGTGAGCAACATGGTTCTGACACTCCAAACAAAGGGAAACTTGCTGTGTTGAGGTCTAGGTTGTGGGGAGGGGGCTGTGTGGGTGCATTCAGCTTCCTCTTCCAATCTTCCCTGTCAACCCTAACCCTCCCCTGCACACTTAAATTTTTGGACCATCTTTGATCCCCCCCCCACTCCCATCTGCAGTTTATATTCCAGTCAGATCACTTTGGGGCCCTGTGAATTGCAGGTGTGGAAAAGAACACAATCTTCATCAGGCTAAGCCCCTCCTGCTGCAGACACTAAGGTCGCAATCCTTGTAATAGCATGTAGCTTGACTTTTGGAGTCACATACCATAACTGAAGGAGTAGATTTTGAACCTAAAGATCATTAGATTCTCTCCGCAGCACAGAATCTTTTAGCATTCCAGTATTGGCAGTATTTGAGGTTCAGAATGAAACAACATGCACTGTGTAACTTTGCTAGCAGCTGCTGCTGTAGACTTGAATCCTCATAGAATGGTAGAATGGCGACTTATTTTATTTTATATTGTTAACTTGTTTTATATTGTATTGTATTATATTTTAACTGATATCTTTGTGAGCCGCCCGAGGCTTCGGCGAATGGGACGGCATAGAAATTTTCTAAATAAATAATAAATAAATAAATACTAGAGTTACGGTAGATGAGGCCATTGAGGCCATCGGATCCAAGCCCTTCTGTTTCAGGACAGCAGGTTTCGCCATCCCACTCACATGGTTGTCTAGTTTCTGTTTAGTCTGAATGTCTCCAGTGTGGGAGAGCCCAGCACCTCTCTAGGCAGCTGATTCCACTGTCAAATTTCTCTGACAGGGAGCAAGCTTTTCCTGATGTCCAGCCCAAATCCGGGTTGTTGCAACTTGAATTGAATTGATTATTCTGTGTCCTACACTCTCGTCCTACCTCAACAGCCTGTTGGTTATACAAATGACACCAGTGGGTTTAATAACATGAAACTACGTCT